GGCCCCCACCCTCACCTGAGCTGGGCGGGGCGTGGGGGGAGCAGACGGGACGGGCTTGGTGGCGGCTCAGGCCTGATGACAGCCCCCAGCTTGCGCACAGCGCGCTTTTTCAGGCGGGAACGGTTGTGCTTATTGCGGCTGTTTTCCCAGGACCCCGGAGTGAGGCCACCGGCTCTGTGGTGAGCAGCATTCCGCTAAGCCTCTGCGCGGCTTCCTGCGGAGGCTCTGAGGCTGTCAGTGAGAAGGGCCTGGGTTAGTCAGTGACTCAGCAAGCAGCCAGCAGCAGGCCGGGGCTGTGGCTGGGATGGGGAGGCCGGGCGTCCTGTGCAGCGAGACCAGGGCTGGCCTCAAACCCCGGAGTTCCAGGGCTCCCCCGGGGGAGGAGGTGTGGGTGCTCCTAAGCGTGGGCTTCCTCAGGGCTGTTCTCAGTCGGACCTTTCTGGATCGGCTTCTGGCGTCGCTCTGTTCTGAAGGCCTGTGAAGCAGAAGAGGCCACAGCCGAGAAGCTGTGAGAGTTTCTGAATCATCGATGGTGATCAGGGCATCTTAAATCATATGACTCAGGACAGTCACTGGAAGCTGGCCAGTTCCTAAAGCAGCATCCTGAGACTGTAGGAGGCACGTCATAAACTGTTTCCTTCCTTTCGTTCTGGTTTTAAAGCTTGGGAAAGCTTGAGTTCATCTCATCACGGATGAGACCACATTCCAGGCCCCTGTCTTCCCAGGTCTGTGTGATGCGGCCTGAGACGCGGTGGCTCGGCCAGGGCTGTGGCCTGCGTGCCGTGAGGGCCCCTGCCGCCCCTGCAGAGGAGCGTCTCTGAGGCACGTCCAGCCTCCTGAGGGGGCCGAGGGAGGGAGCGCAGTCCGAGCCAGCACGGGGCTGCCACGTGGTGCACGCTCAGGCACACGCACGTGCTCACGGGGTCCTTCCAGAGTGTGCACGCTGTTTAGTCACTCCACAGTGGTGACCGGAATGAGACTCTCCTGGGTGCTGTCATGTCCTCCCGTGGCTCTAAGACTTGTTCTTATGGGCTGTGCTCGCAGGGTGTAGGGTATCCGCCTAAACGCAGACATGAATTTAGCAGCTTGAGATGACGCACACTGATGACCTTCCGTGGTTTCTGAGGGCAGGGATTCAGAGCAGGCGGGCCAGGGGATTCCGGCCGAGGGTCTCTCAGGAGGCTGCAGCAGGGGCTTCAGCCGGGGCTTCCCCATCCGAAGGCCGGACCAGGCGGGATGCCTGGCTTCCAGGAGGCCCCTCCCGTGGCTCCTCTGCATGTGGGCCCCGCAGGGCTGCTGAGGCTCCTCAGTGCATGGGGGCCAGCTCCCCTCAGGAGGAGTGTGATGCAGGAGAGTGTTGGTGGAAAGTTCTAGACCCTCCTCCTCATCCTGTGGCTACCTCAGTGCCTTGTACACTGTGCTCTGTACGTTTGTCTCTGAGCAGACCCTGCGGGAAGCGTGGCATCTTCTCTGCTTTCAATGGGTACAGGAGCCCAGGGAATTCAGGGCTGCCAGGACTGTCTGTCTGGACTCACTGAATGTTGTGGACCAGAAACAGAGTCTGTCGGCCACATGAGTGTCTTAGATGCTCAGTATTTCCCTACTGAGGTGGAGGTGCTTTTAACAATGCCACGCATTTCCTCCTATAGATTGTGTTGTGGTTTTTTGTTTGTTTTTCGCCGCGCCATGCAGCTCGTGGGATCTTAGCTCCCCAACCAGGGATTGAGCCTGGGCCCTCGGCAGTGAAAGCACAGAGTCCTAACCACTGGACCGCCAGGGAAGTCCCTGTTGCTGTTGTTGATAGCTGTTTTGAGGTGTAATTCCCACACTCTTCACCTCATCCACCTAAAGCGTGCCGTTCCCTGCTTTGTAGTGTATTCATTGAGTGCAGTCGTCACTACTACCAATTTTAGAACGTTCCATCACCCCGAGAGGAAACCCCATCCCCATTAGCATCCCTCCCATCCCCCTCCCCAGCCCCTGACAACCAGGAACCCACTCTCTGTCTCTGTGCACTTGCCTGTTCTGGACATTTCCCATCAGTGGAATCACACACCCTGTGTATCCTCCGTCTGGCTTCTCTCACTGAGCATCGTGTTCCCAGGGTCCATCCATGTTGTAGCGAGTGTCAGTGCTTCACTCTTTTTCGTGGATGGATAATATTTCAGTGTGTGGAGGGACACATTTGTTTATTCGTTCATCTGTTGATGGACATTTGGGTGGTTTCCACCTTTTGGCGGTTGTGAATCACGCCTCTGTGAACATTAATGTTCGGGTTTTTGGCGTGGTTTTTTTTTTTGGCTGCATTGGGTCTTTGTTGCTACGCACGGGCTTTCTCTAGTTGGGTGTGTGGGCTCTAGTGTTTGTTGCAGTGCGCAGGCTTCTCATTGCAGTGGCTTCTCTTGTTGCGGAGCACAGGCTCTAGACACGCGGGCTTCAGTAGTTGCAGCACGCAGGCACTGTAGTTGTGGTGCACGGGCTTCGTTGCTCCCTGGTATGTGGGATCTTCCCGGACCAGGGCTCGAACCTGTGTCCCCTGCATTAGTAGGCAGATTCATAACAACTGCGCCACCAGGGAAGCCCAATGTTCAGGGTTTTGTGTGGACGAATATTCTCATTTCTCTTGGGCAGACACCCAGGAGAGGAATTGCTGGGTCATTTGCTAACTGTTTAACCTTTGAGGAGCTGCCAGACTGTTTTCCAAACCCAGCTGTCCTCACTGTTTTCTGCCATTTGCCAGGAGGCCTTGGGGCCGATTGTTCCCATCAGTGGTTCTTCTCCAGGGTTTCTGGGTCAGCAGTGGCGCTGAAGCTGCGGGTCAGTTCCCCCGTGTCGGGAACCACTGGTCTGCAGGGCTGTCCTGTGCTGGACTGCACAGACGGCACGTGCTCCATCTCCCGCCCCCGGCCTTGTCTAAGTAATATGTGTTCAATGGATATTTACTGCTCCGTCCTTGGTAAGTTGAAGGATATTATTAAGAACGATAGAAGATTGGTTTTTTCCTTTGCCTTAAAAAATAAGATTCTGGGCAAAAGGTCACATACAGTAATTGTATTTACAAACGTCCAGAATGGGCAAATCCACAGAAACAGAGAGTGGATTAGTGTTGTCAGGGGCTGGGGAGGGGATTGAGGCGCGTCTGCTAATGGGGTGATGGGATGTTCTGGAACTGGATAGAGGGGATGGTTGCCCAGCTCTGAATGTATTAAAACCCACTGAAGTGTATACTTGAAGCGGGGGCCCATTCTGTGTGAATTATAGCTCAGTAGGGCTGCTGTTGCAAATATGAGGCTTAGGACACAAAGGGTGTTTCCGGAGTTGTTTGACCTGTTAGGACCGCTGCGCCGTGGGGGCCCCTGTCCTGGGACCTTCCGGGCATCCGTGCCCTGGCCTGTAGGGGCTCTGCCGGCATTGCCGTCCTCCACTGTGAAGTGTGGAAATGGTGGCCTGGTCTGAGAAGGGCAGTCGCTGTCCCGGGGAAGGGCTGGCAGCTCTGGGCCTGACCATCTCACCTCCGGCTTCAGCCCGTGCTCTTCGCGGGCCCTCCTCTGGCTGTACATCTTCTTCGAGGCCCCTCCTCACCGTGATAGGAACCTTCACCGGCGGGGCGGAGGTGCAGTCTAGAGTTACAGACCGTCCACATGATGTGTCGTCCTCACTTGTTTTGTGCCAGGTCTTGGGTTAGCTGGCCGCCAAGACCCTGGCGAAAGGCCAGAGCGACCCCTGATATGCTCCTCGGGGAAAGCAGCGAGGCCAGCCCACCGGGTGCAGTGAGGCCAGGAGAGCGCCGCCGTGGCCGGGAAGGAGGACCGCTGCTCGCCCGCTCCCGGTGGTTGCACGAGTGGTGTTTCCCCATTTTACAGATGGAGACCGAGGCCTGCGGTGGTTCAGGGACTCAGAGGCAGACCTGTGGCTTCCAGGCTGCAGGAGCGCCCAGGGGAAGTCCTGGGGCAGGAGGGTCAGGGGCTTCGAGTCCGTCCCGGTCCCTTCCCCGCAGCCCACTGGGCGGCAGGGCGCTGCAGGAACAGGCGCTCCAGGACCCAGCGTGTCCCACGTGGCAGGACATGGCCCCAGCGCTGTGGGTGGAGCTCTCTGGTAGGTCCCGCGAGTCGAGTAGTCCTGGGGGCTGCAGCACCCGCCCCCTGTGATCGCCCCCATCACCGGAGTGGGGAGGGACAGCTCTGAACCCTGTCCAGGACGTTTAAACCCCACGATGCCGCTCACGAAATCATTGAGACCATCCGGTGAGTGTGGCGCCTGCTGGCGCGGGGCCTCGGGGTGGGCCAGTCCTGAGTTCCCAGCAGCCCCCAGCTGGGGGAGATACAGATACAGATATCCTGGAGATGGCAAGTGTTGTGAACTTAGGGAAGTAGTGTACTAAGGTATTCATCAGAGAAGAGCTGGCGTCCCGTCTAGGTTGTCATCATCACTTCCTGATGTGAATCCCAAAGTACTCCTTTGGTTTTTTTCTAGTGTTAACAAATCCCTGACATGAGGTGGATTTTTGACTTTACGTAGCATCACTAGATGACCTGTAGTGCGCAGACGTGTGCTGGGACAGCTCCTGGGCCTCTCTTTGTTTTGAGGGTGGTGGGACATCAACACCAGACTGAAGGTTGCCCAGATCTCCCCCAAACCGAGATTATCCCCCAACCCCTGTTTTGAACCACATCAAATGTATTTATTTAATACTTTGACTCATGCTTTGTGTGTGTGTGTGTGTGTGTGTGTGTGTGTGTGTGTGTGGTACACGGGCCTCTCACTGTTGTGGCCTCTCCCGTTGCGGAGCACAGGCTCCGGACGCGCAGGCTCAGTGGCCATGGCTCACGGACCTAGCCACTCCACGGCATGTGGGATCTTCCCAGACCGGGGCACGAACCCGTGTCCCCTGCATCGGCAGGTGGACTCTCAACCACTGCGCCACCAGGGAAGCCCTTTGCTTTTGGTTTTGATCTTCTTTTGAAATATTGTTTTTCTCTTTTTCCCTTCTCTCCACATAGGAGGAAAAGAGACGTAGAGTTACATCCGGAGAACGGTAAGAATAATAAAGCTTTTTGTTCTGTGCAATATGTAATCTTGATGACTGAAATTACTTTTCTGAAATATTTTAAAAAGAAGAACTTTATAGTGAGTTGCCAGGGTGACCATAGATAGCTTAAGGATGCTGTGTTTGCAGTCAGGTTATTAACCTTGTGATTCAGGTAGAATTCTCTTGCAAAGAGTGAATTGGGGGCAACTGGCAGTTATCAGAACTAGATCTAAAGGTTGTATTAAATATTAAATCTTGAGGTAAGATGTGCCTTTTAGGGCTCCTGAGATGAAGATTGATTTTTTTTGGGGGGTGGGTGGGTGTAGGTAGGAAGGAAGACCTTTTGAAAACTGCCTCCACGTGAGGAGTCCGTGAAAGTCATCTTTAGGGTGTGTGATTTTGCTTGACAGGGTTGTTGGGCCACTCCCTGCAGAAGAACCGGGAAGAGTAAGACCAGGAACACAAGTGGAAGAAGAAGAAAGAGATGATAAAGTAAAGCCTGGTCACCCCCAGGTTTGTCACTTGCACTTTAATCTCAGAACCCACTTGGTTCTAGGAAGGGGGGTCAGGGTGTGGGCAGCATGTAGGAACAGAATGACTTTCACTAATGATCAGAATGATCTTGGATTTAGCTAAAATGCTCTTCAAACTCATTTTTCTGCTGGTTCTCTATGTGGAAGGTGTGTTACATGGCTCTGGTGATAGTAAATCAGTGGTAGGCCTGGAAGTCAGCTGGAGCTCTGCTACTTGATCAGTCAGTTCCAGAGCTTCAGTCTGTCCCCTCTCCTGCCTGTGTCTGCTGCCCATGAGGTCTTTGTGAAGATCTCATTTTCAAACACATGAGGTGCTAAAGTGCTCTAGTATCGTCCAGGTATAAAGTTGCATTCTTAACTGAGATCAGACCAGTTCTTTCTCCAGACCTCCAGCTCCTTTGTAAAATCAGAGTTTCAGGTTCTATGAAATACAGATGTACCCTCTGAACCTCCATGGGAGGGGGTAGCAGAAGGGATTGGGGATCTGATACTGGAAGCTTTACCATTAGACAGCACTGCCCCATATGACAAAGGGCTGACATTGGTCGGGCACAGGTGGTAGAACAATATCACGTCCCTTTTGGTTTTATTAAGACGTTGATTAGAAGTTTCAGCTCAGCAGAGGGGCAGCATCCTGGGCGGGCACTGGGCCTCCACCATCTATGGCTCCTCCCCTCCAGCACCCAGGCTAGGTACTCAGTTCCCAGCAGCCCAGAGGGCAGGAACAGAGCTCTGCCAGGCTGGCCTTCTCAGAGGGCAAGTGTAAGTAGCACAGCCAGGAATGTGAGCGACAGGCCTTGCTGGGTTGTCGGGAAGGAGGGCGACGTCTGGCTCGGCATGGCTGGAGTCAGCGCTAGCCTCCCCTCGGCCATGGGCACTGGGACCCCGGTCTCAGGCTCACACAGGCCTCCAAAGCCCTTCCCTGGGGATGGCGCTCAGACCCTCCACCCAGCCCACCCTCCCGCCCCAAACACCAGCAGGTCAAGCACCACTCAGAGAAGGGGGCCTCTAAAGCGCTTTAGAAAATCTTAGAATCTGGATATGGAAGCTACCATGTTTCACTTCTGGCTGAGAGCTCTGCTCCCAGAGCACAGGATGGCCCAGGGGGTCGAGATGGGAGGGTCTCGCTGTGACACCCCAGGCACTGCTGGCCTTTTTAGCCACATGCCTGCATTCCTTGGAAATACATTTCATTAACAGCCAAAAGGAACACCCTGAGAAACGGGAGGAATTATTGGTTCGTTTCAAACCTTAGCAACAGGGAGTTTTCACCACTGTGTGTATATTTCGTCTGCTCTCTGCGATGCGCTGGAACTTACCTTTGGGCAAAATGTCCCTCAGCTGTCCACGGCACCCGACACACTTGGTGACTCTGCCTGACCCGGGAGCGCCCTGGGCCCCGGGGACAGGCTCCCTGCTTCCTGACCACACCGTCGTGGGAGTGCTGAGGCCGGTCAGGCCCCAGCCCTGGGGGCTCAGCGTCCCTTCGGAAGTGACTGCGAGTCAAGCTCCACACCGACCCCTCCCCTCTGGTCTCCCTCCCGCCAGGGCCGCTTCGTGCGCGGTGCCAGTCGGACCCTCCTCAGGGGGGGTAGGTGTCGGGGAAGCCCCGAGGGCGGGCGCCCTCCCGCACCCTCACGATTCGGTGCTGCTCCGGGTGGAGCCCGCGGCCCGGGGAGCAAGAGGCGCGACGGGGGTGGGAAGGAGACGGGGCCACGGTAAGCCCACCACGGGCCCGCCGGGGCGCAGAGGCAGGAGGCGGCGAGGAGGGCCGGCCCAGCCGCGAAGCCCGTGCCAACGCCCCGCCCGGGCCCGAGCGGCCCTCAGTCCTGCCTGCCGGCCCCTGGGCTCGGAGTGGGTGACAGGCACGCCGAAGAAGCCGTCCCACTCGAGCCGTCCGGAGAGGCCGGCACAGGGCTTGTGCCTGTTCCCGGCGTGGGGCGAGCACCGGGGCGTGAGGGTGTGGAGCTGTCTGGCCGCAGGTCACAGGCTTTGCCTGTTGGAAGGGAGGGCTGCGATGGGGCTCTGCCGACGGAAGGGGAGGATGGAGCTGCCCACAGTCCGCGTTTGCCAGGCAGAGCTTCATCGCGGGCCCTGTTCTCAGCAGCCGTGCGCAGCAGGGACACCCAGGCCTGGCGAGTCTGCGCCCCACCCAGGGCCACTGGGTTCCTGCCCGGCAGCCCCGGCATCTCCTGCTGAGAAACCCCCGGAGACCATGCTCCTTCCCCCGAGCCCACCGCCCCGCTGCAGAGCCCAAGGGGGCTGGGGGCTTCACCCCAAACTTGAGGAAGCCACACCTGGGGACCGGGACACAAGTGGGGGGTCCCACCTTCCCCGCAGGAGCAGACCCCGCGGAGGGTCTATCTTTTGAAAATAAATTTAGACTAACAGGTTTTACACACAGAATCTTAGAGCTGGGAAAAGTCCTTTGTGTCATTCATGTAGCTTCGGAAAGATTTTTTTTTTTTAATGAGAGGATGGATTTCCTTGAGCAAGAGTGAATTTCCAGGAATGGGTCCCTGGTTACCAAGGACTGTTTTCGGGAAGAAAGATGAATCTGTTCTGTGAACACCTTATAGAACTTATTCTATATTGTAGTTCTCTCTGGAAACACATGTACCGTTGATCTTTGTAGCAGCCCTTAACATCCTCAAGAGAAGCTCTCATTTCCCCATTAGTACTTGTTATAGGCTGAATATTTGGGTCCCCCAAGCATTCACATGTTGACACCCTACCTCCAATGTGAAGGTCTTAGAAGGTGGGTCTTTTGGGAGGTGATTAGGATTTGATGAGCTCATCGGGATGGAGCCCTCGTGATGAGATTCTTAGCCTTGTGAGAATCATGAGAGAGCTGGATTTTTCTCTCTGCTCTCTGCCCTGTGAGCACACAATGAAAAGTGGACAGTCTGCAACCCGGAAGAGAGTCCTCACCGGAAGGCGATGATCCCGGCACCTAGATCTCAGACTTCCAGGCTCCAGGACTGAGAAATACATTTTTGTTGTTTATAAGCCCCCACCCCGCCCCATTTATGGAACTTTGTGACAACAGCCCAAACTGACTTAACACTCTTTTCTTCAGATAAATGGAAGAATTTGTGCAGCCCATCGATTTTATGATACAATTTCCCAAATAACCAATATTCTCTCTATACACTCTGATTTCTCAACTTTTTTATTTATCAAAATTGTTATTAAAAAAGCTTCCATATTTTTTCCTAATAAATTGTTTCCAATCCAAGTTATCACTATAATGGTTCTATGATATTAATAATTTGAGCCCTAATACCCTGCTTAAAATAATCATTCATTTGTCTTATGAATAAGTTCAGGGTTCAAATGCAAAAGTTTTAAAAGGATATACTGTGTAAAACATCTATGTCATCCCTCTGAAGGAAAGAAGGAGGGAAGAAAGGAAGGAGGGAAGAAGGAAGGAAGGAAGGTAGGAAGGAAGGAAAAAACAATGAATTTGCCCTCAGTTTAGCTGCCACTTCCTAAGGGAAGCCCTTTCCAACTCCAGACCCCCAGGCATCACAAATAAGCTCTCATGGGACACTGTCCATACTGTTTGTTGCACGTCATGTTTCCTGAAAAGCTGATTCTGAGACAAGGAGAGACTTTCAGGAAGTTTCTTGGGGTGTGTTTTTTGGGATAAACATAGAATTACCGTATGACTCAGCAATTCCACTCCTAAATCATTAAAAACAAACACTCAAACAAATCTGCGTACACACGTGTTTATAGCAGCACTATTCACAATAGAAAAATCATGGAAATAACCCAAATGTCCATCATTGGATGAATGAATAAACAAATTGTGGCATATACCTACAGTGCAATAGTAATTCAGTCATAAAAAGGAATGGAGCAATTAAATATCAAACATGACCAAAAACATTTTTTTAAGGAATGGAATACTAATACATATTACAGTGTGGATGACTCTCAGAAACATCATGCTAAAGTGAAAGATGGGAGACACAAAGATCATACATTGTATGATTCCATTTATCTGAAATATCCAGAATAAGTAAATCCATAGAGAAAGAAAGCAGATTGGTGGTCTCCAGGGCCTGGTAGAGAGAGCGAAGTAGTATCTTCTCAATGGGTACAGAGTTTCCTTTTGGGGTGATAAAAATGTCTGGGGGGGAAAAAATTTTAATTGGAAAATGATTGATTAAAAACAAGTCTGTGCGGTATTTCTTGGTACTGCCTTTCCCAGTTTTGACAGTAAATGGTCAAGTACACAGTAAATGGTCAAGTACAGCAGCCATGGTTTGAGAAAGAAATGATGACCAGGGCTCGGAACACTCACTCGGGGACGAGCGTGAGGGTCACCCCACGAAGTAAGCCATCCATTTTCGCAGAGATATTATCCAAGGATGAGGGGAATTGAGAGTGGATAGCACAGGAGGGAGAAAATGACTATCAGTTGTGGCCTTGAGGCCACCTACAGTAACAGAGGCTATATAGTTCGACCCATTGACCCTCCTTTCACTAGTAGTTCATCTCAACTCACCCTCTCCGCTAAAAACGATCCATGGAAACTGTGAAAGAATTGTTTCCAGAACTTATGCAAAGACGTTGATCCAAGTAAAGGCAACAAAAGCAAAAATAAACAAGTGGGGCTACATCCAACTAAAAAGCACAACAAAGGAAACCAACAACAAAATGAAAAGGCAGCCTACCGAATGGGAGAAAATTTTTATAAATCATATATCCTATAAGGGGTTAGAATTCAAATTATATGAAGAACTCATAGAAAAAATATCCAACTAAGAAATGGACAGAGGTTCTGAATGGACATTTTTACCGAGAAGATACAGAGATGGCCTGAAGATAGTTAAAAAGGCACCTAAAATCACTCATCAGCAGAGAAGTCAAACCACAAAGAGGTGTCACCTCATTCCTGTTAGACTGGCTAATATCAAAAAGACATGGACTAACAAGTGTTGGCAAGGGTTTGGAGAAAAGGGAAGCCTTGTGCACTGTTGGTAGGAATGTGAATTGTTGCAGCCACTATGGAAAACAGTATGGAGGTCCTCAAAAAATTAAAAATAGAAGTATCATATGATCCAGCAATTCCACTACTTGGTATTTGTATGAAGGAAAGAGAAACTCTTAATTCAAAATGAAATCTGTACTCCCATATTCACTGCAGAATTATTTACAGTAGCCAAGACTTGGAAACCCCTGTGTTCATCGATGGATAAATGGATAAAGGACATTAGGCATAATATGCCAAATTATATATATATATATATATAATTCAGCCATAAGAAAGAAGCAAATCATGCCATTTGTGGCAACACGAATGGACCATGAGGGCGTTATGCTAGGTAAAATATGTCAGATAGAGAAAGAAAAAACCTGTAAGATCTCACTTTATATGGAATTTTAAAAAAAGCTCATAGATACATAGACTGGTGTTTACCATAGGCAGGGGGTGGAGGGTGGGTGAAATGGGTAAAGGTGGCCAATATGTACAAACTGCCAGTGATAAAATAAATAAGTCCTGGGGATGTGACTATAGTTAATAAGACCGTATTGCATATTTAAAAGTTATTATAAAACACTGGCTATCCTTATAGCTTATTTATTTTATGCATAGTAGTTTGTGCCTCTTAATCCCCTCCCCTACCCCTATCTTGCCCCTGCCCCCTTTCCTCTACCCACTGGTAACCACTGCTTTGATGTCTATATCTGTGAGTTCATTTCCTTTCTGTTACATTTATTCTTTATTTTTTAGATTCCACATATGAGTGATAACATACCGTATTTGTCTTTCTCTGTTTGACTTATTTCACTGAGCATAATAGTGTTGCAGCAAAAATAGAAATGAAGTTTTTCCTCTCCTGAAAATAAGGAAAGTAAAGGGGACAGTGAACAGGCTAGAGAAGACACATAAACTGGCCTGAAAGGGTTAATCGATCCTAGTTTTATTTAAACTGTTACTAATCTGTAGTGTCTGTAACTAGATTTATCTTTCATAAAGCTAAATTACATTCTGTTCCTATCACTCCCTAGCTGATCTATGTAAATTACATCCTGAATCTGGTGCTTAAGCTCCCTGCACTCTCTTGTAGCAAATCACCCTGTGTAGCTGTTTGCATTTCAGGAAGCAGATGACAGGCAGGTAACACAGAGGCAAATGAGCCCAATTACTGTTCCCCCGGACCCAATTACCGGACTGCCTGACGCCAGCGATGCCGGTTTTGATATAATTCAAGAAGAAGAAGAATGCAGGACCTTTACCACTTTGATCCTTATTACCACTCCCTGGACTACGGTGGCCGCCCGAGGGGCCCGGAGGCCAGCGGGGGCCTCCAGGCGTGTGTGGGCATCTTGTCTACAGCCAGCGTCCCCAAGGCCTCGCTCGGCCCATAATCACTCAGTGAAGCTGCGCCGCGACAGCGCGGCCGACTTTTTCTGGCGCTGTGAGGACCTCTGTGCGCTGCAGGACTCGGTGCCTCTGCCCGCCCGTTGGCGCCTCCCTGCGGGAGGGCCTGCTGGACTTCAACGCTGACCGCCTCCGCGTGGTGGACTGGGTGCTGCCCCTGAGCACCCTCTGTCCCCGATCTGTATATGGAGCTTCTTCCAGCCGTGGCTTGGCAAGATGGGTTTGTACTTCCCGCTTCCAGGGGCCCTCGTGTCGGCGCTGCGAATCAGGGTTTTAGATGGTGCAAGGTGGAGGGTGGGCACTAGAACTGGTGCCCAGTGCCCGGGTGTGCGTGTGCTAGATGGGCGTGTGCTAGGTCTCAGTGTTTTCATCTGTAGCATGGGCTGAACAGGACTCACTCTCTGTGGCCGTTACAGGGTTGCACCGTGTTAATGCTTGTAGACTCTACAATGTAGAACACTTAGCACAGTTTGGAGCATCGTTAATCGTTGCACAGATGTTACATGGTCTGTTGAACGACTTTGCCTGATACACGCCAAAGCGATTAGGAAACTGGTATATCCCAGCTTCATTTCCTTTCCATTAAAACAGGGCTCAGCAAAAAAAAAAATCTTTTTTTCAATAGTCGTATCATATAGCAAAAAGAGCACTGGTGTGAAGGCAGCTTAGGGTTTGAATTCCAGGGCTTATGCTCTCTGTGGCCTGGGCAGGTTACTTTTGAACTGCAATCCCCACACTTGTAAAATGACATTACAAACCACTCTTTCTGTGGGTTCTTAGAATTAATTAAGCAAGTTATGTGTGTAAAGTATCCTGGCACTTGAATGAGTTGTCAGAACGAAGGGCTGCTGGAGACGATGCTTCTGCCCTAGGTAAGCTCCCCTTCTACTGGGCGACAGGTAAACACAAGCACAGTAGTCCGTGCTCTAGAAGAAGTGAGTTCTGGTGCTACAGAGCATGGAATCTTTTTTTTTAATTTAATTATTACTTTATATTGGAGGATAGTTGATTTACAATATTGTGTTAGTTTCAGGTGTACAGCAAAGTGATTCAGTTTTACATCTATCCATTCTTTTTCAGATTCTTTTCCCATACAGGTTGTTATAGGATATGGAGTAGAGTTCCCTGTGCTATGCAGTAGGTCCTTGTTGATTGATTACCTATTTTATATATAGTCGTGTGTATATGTTAATCCCAAATTCCTAATTTATCCCTCCCCCCCCACCTTTCCTCTTTGCAGAGCACAGAATCTTGGAAGGGAAAGTTCAGGGTAGGCTTCTTGGAGGAGGTGCCATCCTTTCTAAGGATATGTAGAAGCTCCTGGGGTAGCAGGAGGGAGCAATGTGTGTCAAAGTTTGAGAAATATAAGAAAATATGGCAAAAGTAAGGTACAGGACTAGAACTCAGGGTTTGGAAAAGAAATGAGAGTTGATACTGTAAACCTAGTGGGGCCCAACAGAAAGGGGCCTTGTTTGTCCTGTCAGAAGTTTAGATGTTTATCCTGAAGGCTGTGGGAAACCCTAAAGAACAGTGAGATGGTCTTCTGGTGTAGAGACTCACTTGGATCTCCATGTGGAAGGCAGTTGATTGGGTGCAATGTGAATTGTAATCTAGGTTCCCATTTAAGTTATAAAAGGTTGGACTGGATTTTGCAGATCTGAGAGAGAATGGGTGGGGCCTGGTGACCAGTTAGAAAAGGGAGGGCAGCAAGTGTGGGCGACAGTTTACAGCTGCATCTTTTTGTGAGATACAGAGCACAGTAGAAAGGGATTTGGGGTGGCGAGAGGATATTACTTCATCTTCAGTGCTTTAGAGGGGCCTGGTAGACAGGTCTGGGCCCAAGGATCAGATCTGCGCTCTTTGGGAGGACAGGTGTTTGAAGGCATGGGAGAGACTTAGGTTATCCACAAGAATATCCAAAGAATCATAGGTCTGAGGGCTTTTTAAGTGGGTATATTGAGGATGTTTATAAGCTGAAAGAAAGTAGCTAGCAGAGAAAGGGTGTGAAGATCTAGGAGAGGAAGTGATTGTTCATTTGTTTTCAAAAAGCTGAATACTTATCGTGTGCCTGGCCGTTTTCTAGCATCTGGGGTTCTCACCATGTGTTACCTCTCCTGCAAGGACAGTTCAACTCATCCCCTGGTGAAGAGAAGTCAGATTATTCTTTGCATCCCATTCAGGTGTAGGAACTCTTCTGTACCTCTGAATGGACTTTACTTAACCAGTGTAATAAGTTAGAAATCAAAAGGGGAACTTAAAGGCCACTGTACTTAATTTTGCCTAATATTTTACATTGAATGTAAGAAAAATTTATTGCAGAGCCCATTCTCTTCAGAGTTCCTTCACTGAACTTTCTTTATGTCTTGCATCCAGTGGGTCTAGCCTGTAGATTTTGGCCTCCTCCTAAATTTGCTTCTTCATCCGTATTACATTTTGCCCGGACTACGGCAGAAGCTCCTGGGTGGTTTCGCGGCCTCTGGACTCAGTTCCTCTAAGGTCATCTGCCTACTCGGGTTGAGTGATCTTCTAATATGAAAAGCTATGCGTAAAATAATGCTGCTAATGGCTTGCCCACACAGAGTTAATGCATACTAGCCGCCCAGCATGTGCCCTGCCCAGAGGCCTGTAATCTGAACTGTGCTTTGCCAAGCCTCCTGGGGCTCTTTGGCCCTGAGGAAGGGGAGCTTTTTGGGATCACTCCCTTTACCTAATTGGTCCTTCAGCCTCGGGGCACCTTTTTCTAGTCAGCGGAGGCACCGTTACTCAGCCAGTGGTAGTCCCAGGCCTCATCACCTGTGGGATACAAGCCTTGCTCTCTCCCAGGCTTGATTCGACCAACATCTCTATTTTCTCTCCCTTCTCACACTTGGACCCCTGGCGTTTAGTTATCCCCACCTGCAGTATTTACAGTGCCCAGCAGGTGTCAGGCTTGAGTGTCTTTGCATAGGTGCTCCCCGTGCAGTTAATGCTCCTCCTACTCCAACTCTGCATAGCTTCATCTTTCTTGATTTTACTTCAGGGTTATCATGAAGCCCTCACTTAGATATAAGTTTTGGCCTCCATAGGAAACTCTGTGCATAAAGGTTATGGTTCTTTATCTCATGTGATTGAAATTTTGAGTTTATATATCTTCCTCCTTAATGAGGCTTTAAGGGCAGGAGTCGTTTCTAATCAGCACAGAATAGATGCTTCTTTTTCTTTTTGGATGCTTTTTACGGTGATAAAATGTATGGTTTAAATGACTCGTTTTACAATAATTTTGCTTTAGGTTCTGATAGAAATAAAGTTTCCAGAAGTTGTGTTCCTGCAATAAGAAATAAAGATGTGACCTTCCAGTTGTGTAAAGGTCTTAAATGCTGTGTAAGTGCATCGGGTGCCTACGGAACCTGGAGCTAAATGGGCTAGTTCTGAGAGAGACTTAACTACGTTAACAAAGGTAAGCCTTCATTGTGTCCTGCCAACATTTGATAGCTGCTTTCGGGGCAAACTAAACGGGTAAAATTTTAAACTGTTCCTCCCCATTAAAGGGATTGAATAAATCGGCCACTTTGGGGCACCTGTATCTTGCAAATTTTCCAATTGGAGATGGAGGTTTAGAAAGTGAGTTTCAGTCTTGTTTAAGTCTCTTCCCCTCAGACTGGTCTCGTGATTTCCTACACACCATGTCTGTCTACATTTTCCTGTCTGCCTTTTCTTGGTGTTGTTCATGCCTGGATTGTCTCTTGTACCTGCTCAAACCTTGGTCCATTCTCATTTGTACCATGGAATTTTGTCATGCCTGATACTGTCAGAACTAATTTTACTTAAGTTTGTGTTAAGGTGCAAAGCACACATTTTATATATTTTCTGTTTTTGTGTTTGTTTATATTTTTATGGTTTCTCTTCAAAAATATTATGAGAAAGGAAATAACAAGATGTAAAGAGCAAAAAAGTCATCATTCTCTTTAAGTTGTTAGAACGTCTATCTTCAATCATAATGCACTGTGGTATGTGTTAAAATAGGAAATATATGTCATGTCCCGTAGGAGCAGCAAATTCAGTGGTATTAGTGGGGGTGTGTCATGGAAGTAATCACAAAGCAGGTGACTGTTGGTTGGGGTCCTGAAACATTAGTGTGTGTTCTCTGTGTCCAGTAGTGGTCTGGAGGGGTCAGGAAGCCTGCCTTTCAATTTGAGGGAACAGAGGGTTTGAGGTCCTCCCTCTTCTATTGCTCTAGTATACTGCATAGCAGCTAATAAAATACTGGGTTTATAGTTGACATTTACATCGCTGATTGATCATCAAGATTGGCATGTATCATTGGAAATGAAAATCGGAAGAGTCTTATGCTTTTTAGGTTTTTCATTTTTTTCCTATGTCTCAGAATGCTCTTTGACAGGGGACTTTTTATTCTCCCATACAATTCCATAAATACTTATACCCTGGCACTTATTTTACTGGCATTTTCAATTTATAAATGTCTTTGAAACACATACTGTAAACTATTTGAGGGTAATGACCATGGCCATTGATGGCACATCTTAAATGTGCATCGTGTTAATTTTTGAGTGTCATCTGGTCTACCATCAGTGCTTCCCTCTTTCACCCAGTTTTATTCCTCATTTCCTTCTCCAAATTTGTCTCATTTTTCTACTTTCCCTTTTGCTTCTCTATTCTTGCTTTCTCTTTCCCATTGATTGTGTCATTCTTCTTTTTCTCCTTCTGACTTCATTATTATGGACAACCAAAACCTTTTCTAGGATTGTCTCTATCTTCCTTTCCTCTTCATTGCCATCCACAAACTCTTACAGAATATTCTTGGTTGACTCCCTTACTTCCTAGCATACCCATGTACTTCATGATCACTTTAGAACATTGAAAAGGGTTGGAATTTTTAAAAATAGGTGATTATAATCAGTCTTCTTTCACCTCTGGCATAAGACTCTTCTTCCTCAATCTGACCATTCTTAAATCTAGAAGTACTCCAGCTCATTGGTCTCCCTTACCCCCATGTTTAGGCCAAAGAACTTGTGAAACCTTAACCCTGTTTAATACTTGAATTTATCAAAACATAAGAGAGCTAATTCTGCCTAAAGGCACCAAAGAAGAATAAAGATGCCGCAAATAAACATTTAGTCCAGATTTATAATGGTCTCTTAGGTGCCTAGTTGAGTGCTAACCATTCACTCACTTGAACAACAGGGAGCTCATGACACAAACTAACATGTTAATTGTATAGACACTTCACTTCACCATTCCTCAATGTGGCTGATAAACTGCATCCAGTTAGCTTAAATAACATGAATGATGAATTTCCCTGTGTATATAAATTGGGAGTTTCTAAAGTTTTCTTTTTCCCTTTGTACAACTAGTGACTGCCACCTCGCTTGGTCACTGCAATAGAAAATGATGACTAAGAAACACATTGTCTCAATATCAGTGGACATAATGTCCTAGTATTCTATAAAAATCTCAAAATTCTTAATCTAAAAGGTAGATCTGCCAATATCTTATATCCTTTACCTTTGTTAACATAAATATCCAATCTATGAAGGTCTCAGTTTCCTTACTTAGAATATGAGGTGGATAGATTTGCTAATATCTAGGGACGTTTCCAATTTTAATATTCCCTAGTTATAAGGGCTGAACAAAATACAATGGCTCCCTTAATCATTAACCTCGCTCATAATGAAAGTTATCAGCAAGTTCTACTTGTAAGAGATCAAACATTCGTATCCATATATATTGTAGCACATTGACTTTTACAGAACTCAAAGTAACACAACATAGTTACATTCATAGACTTAAGGTCACTGTGGTACACTTTACAAATTTTCTTTTCCCTAGGAAGGAAATGTAGATCCCTAGGAAGGGATTTCTTTCTCTGCCTTTCAGTAATGTAAGCCTTTTATTATCTCTTGGATCCTAAAAATGCGTAGGGTTTTGGCAGGTGGAACTTAGGACAGACATTCCAGGTGGCAGGGACAACATGAGAAAGGGCAGAAGTAAGAATGGATTTTCAGAAGGACTCGATATCTTACATGATGAGAGCAGCGTTTCACAATCTCTGTCCTGCAGAACACTGGTTTTAGATGATGTTAATGTAGTTACAAGACAGAAGCATTTTGGAAGAGCTGTACTCTACATCCTGACATGAAATTCAAGTTTCACTTTGTTACATTACATACTCTGAAAAGTTTTGGAGGAAGGAATTGATTTATTTTTGTTTAATTCAGTCTTACTCACAGTTACTTGAGAAACCTATATTCAGCTGATGAGACTGTATTTTGTGAAAGGCCAATCGGAGAAATGCTGAGACGGGGCTTAGGATATTTCTCTGTTGGGACAGGCATGTGATTATTTTTCCTATAATTCTTTACTGTTTGTCCTAACAATTGTTACTTTGCAGGATTGTTTTTTTTTTTACATGTTTATTGGAGTATAATTGCTTTACAGTGTTGTGTTAGTTTCTGCTGTATAACAAAGTGAATCAGCTATATGTATACATATATCCCCAGGATTCAGTTTTAAGCCTTCTGTTTTTACCTGAGTCATTGGGACGCTTAGAAAGCTCAACATTTCTGGGGTCTTCATCTCTTAAGTAGTTTCCAGAAGCTCCTGGCACTTACCACTATTTCCTCTTGATTCTTTTCCTCCGACTTCAGACTTCTTACGATTATTAGCTGATTGTTTTCTCAGCCTCTAGTGTCAAAACCAGCTACCTCACTCATCTTCATTGTCTCAGTTACAAGGTGCAATATTTCCCATGTTTATATGTGTCAAAATATAAGTCAGGGGTTGATACATAGCATATGCGTAATAGAAATTGTATTTCCTTGTTTTCTTTGTTCAAAGGTATCCAAACACTGGCCAAGTTCTTAAATTGAAAGTAGAGTGATCTAATTTATTCAGCTCATCCAACCATCAGTATTGAATATTTGTCTTTTTTCTTACACATATTTCTTATATTCCAATTGTGACATTCTAGAGCACACTGAGCACATTTATAACTTATTACTGCACTACTACCTTGGCTATTCCTTGACCAAAATTTACTTCATACAACTGACAGTCTACTTAACCTACTAGAGTTTTTTTTTAATGTACGCATACATTAAAAAATACTCTAGTAGGTTAACTGCATTGCTAATAACTGAATTTTTACATCTCTATGCACCCATGTATCCAACACCAGATCAAGATATTATAAAATATTTCTAACACCCTACAAGGTTCTCTGTTACTTCTTTCTGTTCCATACTCCCCCAGGGCAACACCTAAGATGATCTCTATCACCATATAATGACATACATGGAAACACACGGTGTGTATTCTTTGGTATCTGGCCTCTGGTTACATATCATTATATCAGTAGTTTATTCTTTTATTGTGTTTTCCTGATTTTTTAAACCTAGACATTCATACAGTGTCAAAGTACCACTGAGTTCTTAATATTATTATGCTGACCTCCATCTTCAGGGGCTTTCCACAGTCTTCCATGTGTCTTTCCACCTACTTTCTCTTCCATCTAATTATGTTTCATTTAACCAACCTCAGTCAGCCTTCCCCCCATATTCCCCAACACGTAACACTCCTGTGTTCAGCCAGTTTTGTTCCCTATTCCATAAGCCTTTTGTGCCATTCCTGACACTGTGCCTGTTCCCTGCCCGGAAGAGCTGTTCCCTACCCTCTATATACTTGGTCAAGACTCAGTTTAAATGCTACCTGTTCTAAGAAGTCTTCTCAGAAGAAGCCAGTACTTTTTTGAATCCTTCTTTAATGAAATCCCATAACAAGTGTAATCTGTCCTCCCTGATCTGTAATTAATTATCCATTGTTCCTGTCATATAGTGTTTGTTTTTCTTATGTGCTGTTATTATTTATTGAAGCAGATTATAGTGACTTGAACCAGGAACTGGGTCATTTTCCTCTCCTTTTTAGTGCCAGTTTCTGTGGTATGAAGTTAAACTCTTTTTCCCTCACTTCCCATTCACCCTCAGCAGTTGTTAAACATAAAGTACAAGTGAAACTTATTGGTTAACAGGTTTTTGTGGTCCTTGGTTCTGGTCCCTAGGTCTAAGCTGCACTTCTGTATTGCTAATTTGACTGATTTCTTATTGTCACATAACTCAGGAATTAACTAAATCATTACAAATTTAGATACATATAAGATATTATAAAAAAGAACCAGTGGATATCAAAAGTTTTGGCCTGGAGGAGAGTGTTGTATGAGTCCTAGTTCGGTGGGGCTCACACTTAATGATCGAGCCTTCCAATATTCCATTGTAAGTAAGAAAGAGGTATGCAAATATATGGTTGATATTTAACAGTGTTGATAAAAAAGAGAAGAGAGAAAGGGACGACAGGTACTTTGAGGGCTTTTTAGAATTCATGAACAATTATGATTGGATGGGAAAAAAGAAAAACCGAGGGCTAACCTCCCACAAGTGAGCTCAG